TCGAGGCAATCTCGTTCGTCTGATGCGTTGGCTAGTAACGGAGGCAGGAGTTATGCTAAGAAAAAGTTGATTTTTAATGACTATCAGTTTGTTGTAAATAAGAGTTTCAGCTTTTCAGGGTCGCATGTAGTGAGGCCTCATCACTTTATGCCAATCACAACCGAATGCTTCCAAGACTCGACGCGTCAAAACAGATACAGTGAATTTGACTCATTCCATGCTTGGTCGACTCGGCAACGTGTCTGTAGTTGGGCACTTTAGTGTCGGGCTCATCTCGTGCTTTTGCTACTCTGCTTTGGAGGAAAACACTCATAAGTTGCCCTTTTTTGGTAGATCTTCTTTAAAGCGTCAAGGTGTTTTTCTCAGAACTACTCCCAGTTCGGATACATCCCTAACAATACCCAATGTAAAGACGATTTTGGCCTATAGACGTGCATTTCTATGCTCTCTTTCCACAACACATCGGTCCATGCTCATATTCCAGCTGAGTCGTATTGTGAGTTGTGGCTACAGGCTCTTCGAAGCAGGCCTCTTTCGAGGCGGTCGTCTTGAACCTTCCGTCTTTCCGACAGGAGTCGTCGAGTTCTCTGCATTACCAGCTCCATCAGACATGCCCCTGTGGGACAGACGAATTATATGATTCCCACTCATGCACAAAGCCATTGTGGCATTCATATTTCTACTGAATAGACCTCAAAGCTGCAGAGAGATGATGAATAAAAGACGCCGCATAAAATGAGCAAAGATAGACGCCAATTTTTGTATGCAGGAAGCGTTTAACAATTAAATGAAATATTATAAATTGAAAATAGAGAGTTAAAGGGGTCAGGTATGTAAATTAATTTAATTATGTAAGTTAAAATTACAAATTACAAACGAATTACAGTTATTTTGGATATGGGCATATTAATATAAATTCGATTATGCTGAAAGAAGCAATCTCATGTTTTGCTTCAAAGCAGACTTTTTAGACCCAAAAATATACACTTTATAATTTATTATCAGTGAGCCTTTTCTACGATATCAACAACAAATATTTAATAAAATATGAAGTTCCTTAGATGATGTAAAAGCCAAGTCATAAAACCGAATCCTTTTCAATTAAGAATTGAAAGAATTCTAAGCTGTAAAAAATGCCAACAAGTTTTGTAGCTGAAAATAAGAATAATTTCAGTATTATTGTGCAAGTCGTTTGCATGCATAGCCTTGCTTTCCGTAAAGTATTCTCATCCATGCTGGACAACGGTTTCGACGCGCAGCGGTAATCGAATCCGAGTTGTAGTACTGCGGCGTATCATAGAGACGTGTCACCACGAAGATCACTTATTTCCCATACAGCTTTTTTGTAGCGGGATTGTCGATGAGGCAAACTTGTATTTGCTATTGCAATCGAACACATTACTTATTTTCATATTGAGTAGTTTGTTGTACTATTTATGCCGCTATGTCCATCTCTCT